CACTGAATGATTAGATGATTGGGTGATTGTCTATGCCACTTGGCGATTTTGCATGTAGGGCGGAAACCCCACTTTTGCACGAAAATCAGCCCGTGCACGACCGAACACCTCGTGTGCACACGTGTAAGCGCGATCTGATCAGGGCGGCCTACTCGTGTCCACACGCGGGCGATTCGCGATCACTGACGAACTTGGCACCTCCGGCATCAGAATAGGCGTGAAATTTTCCTTTTTGCAAGGATTTGGGCCGATAGGAATTTCCGCCACCCAACCCGGAAATTCCCTTATCAATCGAAGCACGAGCAGATACGTACACCAGAATGACAAGATGCCGTATGTCGCGGACCGGGAGAGTTTGCGGTACCAAGAAGAGCACTGGGGGGGGGAACATCTTAGACTGAGATATCCAGAATTTCTGTCTAACTGAGAACCGATTGAGCGCCAGGGACTTTCACCGTGCCATAACCAGCGACCCGAGGTGCCCCGACTACCCGACTACTTATAACACACAATATTTCATATCACCCGGCTTCGTCGCTATCGCTACCAATTTCCCTCCCTTCCACATCCTCCTCCCGTACCACCAGCTCACGGTGGCTCCGTGGAATTCCATAGCCCCGTATTGGCCCCACATGCCGTGCAGAAATTGGAGACGACGCGGCAACCGCCGAGCCTCTGGAATTACGGAGCCTAACCATAACATGCAACGACAATCGCCACGTGTCCCCACCCGGAGGTCCGACTCATAGAAATCGCAACCCTTACGAACGGGCCTCTCCCGAACCGCAGCCACTAAAACAGGCGGATCGGACGACGCAGGATGCACCACGCATGCCATCTGCCTTATGTCGCACGACATCGACCGCCATCAGACCGAAGGTAACCCGCCCCTCAGCCTTATTGCACCCATGCCCCTGAACCCCCGCCACAGGAGATCTCAGTTCTGACCTGGGACTTCACCCCCACTTTCCCAAAAATCCTTGGCACACCCCATTTCGCACTTCCAGGCCCACATCCCACTCCGATCAGGAAGTCGCGTCGGGCGTGAGGTTGGTATCGGAGCCGACACGTGGTAGGGTTTTAGGATTCCCAGGGCAACAACTGAGATCGAAGCGATCTGGCTAACAGAGGGCGACCTCGACCCCGAAACTCGCATCGACGCGACCCCGTCGTTACAAGAAGCCGGTTTGCGGCTCGACGGGCGGCCAATATGAATGCTAATCAACAGAACCCGAACCCACAATAGAGCCCCAATCAGCAGCTAAATCCTAATCAACCCGCACCACGAGCACGGGCACCTATGGCCCCACCAGATCTCTATCTATTCGATCCCGCTCACCACCTTGCTGGAGCATGGCTGGCCACGCTTCGAGCTCAGCAGTACGATGACAACGAGGCGCAGGTAAACATTCCCGCTCGACTAGGGGAGATGCTCATCATTGGTTCAACACCTATGTATGGGTTGATCTCCCGACATTCGAGCGAGACTTTCTGAACCGCTTCGATTATATCCATCCGGAACAGACCCTCTTCATGATTAAGGATCAAGTCCAAAAACCCATCGAGTCTGTAACTGAGTACCGAAACCGATTTTACCGAATGTTTGTAAAAACCGAACGAGGTGAACAGGTAGGTAGAGATTTGTTTATCGACGGGCTTCTCAGCCGAGCGATGAGGACGAAACTGCGAAAACAGTTCTCCCCCACCAATCACACGCAGAAACAGATCATGGTGGCCGCAGAAGAGATGGAACGAAAATTCACCAAGTTTCTTAGAAGGAGAAGATTATCCTAGGGAAGGAGACTCTCCGAACTGGCGAGAGCTAAAGCCGAGTTGGCTGCGCTACAGAATAAGTTCGAAAATATGGGGTTTGTGTCTGACCCTGTCACCTGTCTAGAACAAATTAGCCCCAAACGACCAGCCCCAAGTGTGATTACGGGCATGCCAGTTCCTGTAATGACGACACCCCCACCTCCAATCGAAAGTCCTGCACGACCGAATGAATCAACCGCCTTATTGAAACTGTGGTCAATCAGATCCAGGAAAGCAAAAAGGAACAACGGGAACACCATGCTCGAATAGAGGCGATGATGAGGTCGATGCGACCGATAGTAGTACGTGCCGCCCTGATTCAACACGGACTGGCTCCAGCACCCGCTCTCGGAGGGGCCGTTGGTAATTTGAACGTCTGTTACACGTGTCACCAGCCTGGGCATATAGCCCGATATTGCCCCCGTCGACCCTCACAACCACGGATCGGAGCCGCACCAGTAGCAGCGGCCCCAATCGCTAACGGACCAGGGCGAGTGGGAGCACTAATGGAAGAAATGGAAGGAAGTGGAAGTGCGTTGGCTACTACGGAAGAAGCCGCTGAGCTCATTCCGTTGGATCAGTATGTAACGCTTGGCTACCCAGGATTGGGCATGATTGGAACAATCAGGCCCGCACTCGAACAGAGGGAAGTGGCGGAGTGGAGACCGTCTCCAGGAGAAATGGAGTCGGGAGGACCCACCTTCGTCACCGGGGAAATCGACGTCTTGAACATTATACGGGCATTAGATCATTGGATTCCTCTTCCGATCGGTCATCTGCTCTCGATATCAGAACAGGCCAATGAGCGCATGTTGCAACATTGCAAGGCAAACCGGAAGCGGTTCGCCCTCGCTCGAACAACAAACACAAAACTCAAAAACCTGCCACCAGAAGAACACGCTGCTGGTACTTCGGACCCCATACGTTTGGGACTAATCCAGAAAGATGATCACTTCCTGCGGACTAAAGCAATTCCATGGAAATCTGCAGAATGTGATATCGAAGTATGGAGAGTCTTGTACAACGCCATTATTGATTCTGGAGCAGCCGTCTTAGCTATCTCATTACGAGTAGTCGAAAGAGCAGGAAGAAAGAAAGATCTGATTATGCTTGCGGAAAAGAATCAGCTCGTCTCAGTAGATGAGGAAAAGATCAAAACAGTGGGACGAATGACCAATGTTGCTTTTCGACTGGGTAAGGTGCATGCTCTGGGAGATGTCGTAGTGTTAGACGTCAGCACTTATGATGTTCTTTTGCGTTTACCTGCTCTTATGGCTCTGCGAGCCAACTTGGACTTCGAAAGATGATCGATTATCCTCCGAAATACGGGAGGAAAACCTTACGCCATACCTATGAGAATGACCCTTCGTACTACCGTTATTATAGCCCCACAAGTTTCTCAGGTGATGGCGGGAACTCTCTGTGTGATCACCTGGGAAAACTGCGTGGACGATGAGCAATCATTGAAAGATGCGGACAGCAGCGACGAGGATGATGCGGTAATTCTGGAGCTGGCGCGACAGCGCGTCTGTTACCCTGCACAACGAACGAATGCAAAAGCTTTGAACCTGACTGATCGAAACTTGCAGAGGACGCGGGCAATGATTCTGGGTGAACCTCCCGTACTATCAAGGATGGTCGATTCTTTGGAACCCCCTCGAACCCTGTACGAAGGTATCTCCCCTCTCCTTGCGCGATACAACGACAAGAGACACTTTTGCGACATCACGAGCCTCTCGCGATCTCTTTTGCCACCTGCAAAAGAGATACGGTTGCAAAAGAGATACGGTTGCTACGCTTAGGGGCGGAGGCCAATTCCTTGGAACCCCCTGAGCGCCTCGAAACCGGACTCGGAATCAAAATCGCAACGAAACCCGTGCCATGGCAAGATATTCGCGATGGAGTAACCCCGGAGGAACACGTGCCATTCGAGAGCAAGACGCACAAATGATGGTCACGGTATTCTCTTGGCGATCGGATAACTCGTTTATTTCCGCACCCCCGCCTGAAACCACTAAGCGAGAAAGTACGAAACAGATCGACGTGCAGATACGGAACCAGTCATATGAGCTGCACGTGCCCCACTACGTACCTAACGAGATCCACCACCTCATCGCGGACATTCTAAAGGAATACCAGGGAGCAATTAGTGTGACGGACAGAGACATTGGACTAACACTGGTCATATAGCACGAGATTCAAACCGGAAACCACCCCCCGATCCACTGTAAGCCCTAGAGATATTCCCTGGTGGAACGAAAGACAACCCTTCAGCGGATTCGGGAGTTCGAAGCTAATGGTTGGATCGAACCCGCCACTGGACCATGGTCATTCCCGGTAGTATTAGTGTCGAAGAAGAATGGGTCGATTCTCATTTGCATCGATTATCGGAAGCTGAATGATATCACGATCAAAGATGTGTATCCCCTTCCCCGGATTAATGATTTGCTGGATGCGATTGGGTGTGCTAATTATTTTAGTAAATTTGATATTCGTCACGGCTTCCATCACATTCTGGTTAAGGAGGAAGATCGACCGAAAACGGCCTTCGCATTGTTTGAGGGCACGTGGCAGTGGGTCCGGTGCCCGATGGGGATTTGCAACGAGCCTCCACGTTTCAGCGGGCTATGAATGTGACGTTTCAGAACTTCGTCAACAAGACACGGCTGACCCAAGGAATGATCAACTTTTGCGTCATCGTGTACATGGACGACATCCTGGTCTACTCGAAAACCTATCACGGGCACGTACAACATATCGAGTGGACACTGGGAGCTCTGAGAGACGCTGGGTTCAAGATTGCACTCGAGAAGAGCGAGTTCTTCCTCTCAGAGATCTCGTTCCTGGGCTACGTGGTGACACGAGGAATACTGCGGCCGGATTCGAGAAAGGTCGCAACAGTGAAGGACGCCCCTGTTCCCACATCACTGACGCAGGTTCGAGCTTTTCTGGGACTGGCATCGTATTACCGTCGTTTCATCAAAGGCTTCGCTGCAATTGCGAGGCCTCTATTGAACTGGCTACGGAAGGACCAGCCTCTCAGTTGGGACGCCGAGTGCGAGCAGGCCTTCGCTACCCTCAAGAACGCCCTGGCCACAACACCTATTCTGATTCAGCCGGACCCTACAAAGCAGTTCATTCTCATTACGGACTAGCAACCCGAGGCGATTTCCGCTATCCTAGCACATAAGGGAACGACGGCCGTGAACACGTCATCGAATACGCATCACGCACGGTGCCAGATGAGCGGAGGAACGATTCGGCCCCGGAAGGCGAATGCTACGTCGTGGTTTGGGGAATCCAGCACTTCCATCCGTATCTTTACGGACAGAAGTTTCTCCTCGTGACCGACCACGAGCTGCTGCTGGCTCTCAAGAGGCTCACTAATTATACTGGCATGATTGGGCGTTGGGCGGTGCGCCTACAGGAGTACGATTTCGACATCGTCCATCGGAAGACGGAGAGGCATGGGAACACCGACGGGTTGACACGTCTGCATCGACCCGCTAAGGTACCTAAAGGCGAGGAGATCATTCCGTGGAAGGAGCCGGAATCGCCAAACGGACCCAAGTACGGACAAGTGGCAGTCCTTCCACGTGGCAAGAAACAGACAAATGGCAATGGGGGACGGAGGTAATCCTACAACACCTCTCTCTCCCCTCTCACCTTCATCTCTTCTCTCTCTTCCCGATAAATTTTGCTATTTTTGCGAAGCGATTTCACGCGTTTACTCTGTCCCTATGCATCCTAGTGGGGAAGGTTATGTCGAGTGGGTAGATTGTCGGCAATGTGTCGCACGAGCCCATGACTCTTGCATCCAGTATCGAAATGGCGATAAGCCTTGGTTGTGCCCCTTATGTCTAGTCGATAAGATCCCAACCGAGGCCCGATTTCTCGACCCCACGTCAAAAGGGTTAGAAAAGACCCGAAAATTTAGAAGGGCCGAGGTATGGACGGATATTGCTCTAATTGCCACCTTCGTAGGTAACCCCCTCCAGAACTTCACTAAGGAGGACCGGAGGAGGGCCAATGAAAGGGCTCGGGACTATCGCTGGAACGAGGGTCGGTTAGAGAAGCGGAAAACGGATGGTAGTGGGATTTGGATGATAGTGCCGCACCCTTTCAAGAGGTATGACTGGGTTAAGACGGCGCATGAGGAAACTGCAGCCCATTTTGCCGTCCGAATTACGAAGGCGGCAATCGACAAAAAATAGTGGTATTGGTCCAATATCTGCGACGATGTGAAATTCATCGTCCAGAGCTGTCAGGTCTGCGCTGCCGACAAGGCGCCGATTCAGCCGCCACGATCAATAGTGCCAACGGTAATTGAACCGCCGTTTCAGAGGGTGAGCATGGATACTACTGATATCGTGGTGCCCCCTGGACCTAATAGTTGTGAGTATTCAATCCTACTGGTATTTGTAGACCACTTCTCAAAATGGATCGAGGCATATTCGTGTCAAACGCGACAAGCGGCTGAAATCGCGCGGTACATCAACCGTTTTCTAGGAATGCATCAGGACACGGAGGAGATTCTGACCGATAAAGGGGTAGAATTCAGAGGAGAAGTTTTGAGGAACCTGGTCATGCACGGCGTCGCCATACGGAATATTGCACCCCACATGTCACAGTCTAACGGGCTGGTAGAAAACGCGAATAGGGAGATTAAGACCGCACTACGACGAAATATCGCGGCACGAGATCCAAGGCCCTGGCCCGATATCGTGGATCACATCCTAGCGGTCCATTAAGGAACGCCCCACGAATCGACGGGCCTGAGCCCCTTTCAATTACGGACCAATAGTGTGGCCTGTGTTTCAATATCGAGCCTCCCTGATGAATCCTCGTTGAACCGACGGCCCACGAGGGCCACGGTGCGGGACAAAGCCAAGTGACAAATGGAACTGATGGAGCGGTCCTTGCCCCGATTAGCCCGAAATCGCCAGAAAATGACTGAGTTTGCCCACGGCCGACAGGTCCGCAGTTACGAGGCCCGGAACGGAAATGCAGGACCACGGCCCCAGTATAAATTGGGGGACACCGTGCAAGTGAGGAAATGTGCTCGCCAGGGTAAGCTAGCGCCACGATTCTTCGGGCGATTTCGTGTAGTCGAGCTCGGTCCGAACGGCGTGAACACCATGCGGCTCGTGCCTGAGGTCTCTGGCAGCCGATCGGCTCGACCGATCACTCGCCACGTGTCATATCTACGGCCTCTCCCATCCTCTCCATCTCCACCTTCGTTTGTCTCCTCCTCCGCTGCGGAAGAGGACGACGATTGCTTATTGCACGCTTCTCCTTCTCTGTCTCGCTCTCCCTTAGATACTCCGTCCCCATCACCATCGCCATGAGTTTTCTCACTGAACGAGTTCTCGGCGAGCACCTGTTGGTGCCACGTGACGACATTTCGGCGATCAGACAAGTCCATCACACACGGATCAGTCCGGATCTTCTACGCTTCGCGCAGTTCTTCAGCACCACGGGAGTGTACGAGGCGGCGGAATTTCGTTTTGCGACCCATAGCCAGGCACTCGTATTGGCCGAGGCATCGGCTTATCGGCGGCTCTCAATACCGGGGGTCAGCCAAGTATCCACCATCGTTGTCTTCAGTGGAGATATCAGCACGGTGGATCCACTACGACATACGACCATCCGGGTATCGCTGAGGAAGTGGGGTGAGCAGCTGGCGGCGGAGTGGAACCAGTGGCTTGCGCGGCACGGTGACAATCTTGTCGTCACCAACAGCATCGACGCCGGCGGGCTTCGCATGTCCCGACGTGAGCCGGCTGTAGCGCTCCCGGAGCTCGTCCCCTTTCTGCGCCCTCAATGAACCGGTCCCAGTTTTCAACCTTTGCCCTCCCCTCTCTCTTCCCCACTTTCTGGCAGTCTGCCCTCCATCCCCGTCTTTCTTTCTGTATCCAGCCACTCGTTGATCCCCTCATCGAACCGAGACAATGGGAGATCTGGTGTGAGCACTACCTCACTCTTTCGTTGTGCCTGGTCTAAGTAGAGCTGACTTGGATACGAGACAGTGAGCATCGTGCCGCGAGGGAGAGCGTGGGGCTGCTAATCATCCAGGCCTGGAGAACAGAGGTGGAAGGAGATCTCCTCGGATTCGTCTTCGGAGCGGTAGAGCCAGGCCATCGGCAGACGATCGTGTGGTAACTAACGATCCCTCTTGCGCAGCTCGTCGACGACCTCCCCCTCGACATCATATCACAGTGTGACGAGATCCCAGTGTCGCACGTTCTTCCGCGAAGATTAATGCCGTACTTGCAGTGGTCAGCCTGCTTAGAGGATCGAACGGGAGGTGGCAGCTACCCATCGCGCACGGAGTACCTGAACCCCCGGGGGATCATCGACGTCCTCTTCTTTTCGCCTTGAACGGCGGTAGAGGAAAGAGCTGTGGCGGAGGAAGCGGAGGTGGAAGACGGAAGCGAGGAGGATACCTCGGAGGAAGAAGGTAGCTACAGTGAGTACAGCGAGGAGGAACCCGGGGAAGAAGAGGAAGAAGAAGAAGAAGAAGAAGATCAGTTGGAGGAAGAGGAAGGATCTAAGTGGGAGACTCTGGGTGAGGAGGCGGATCGCGCAGAGGTTCATGAGGAGGATCCCGAGACGGCAGCGCGGCGGAGAGAAGAAATCGCGGCCAGGAAGCAGCCACTGGAGTACGCGAGCTGTGCGGATCTGCCGATCCCGAACGACCCAACCAATGATCCCGAGCCGCCCAAGAACGACGATGGGGACCTTGCTGCCGAGACTTCAAGCGCACCAGCACGCAGGTGACGAAGCCGATCCCCCTCCCCATCCCCCCGTCCCCCAGTTCGAACACGTGTCGATGCGGGGCATCAGGCTTCGTCCCCGGTCGTTATCCCACCGTCCCCTTGATTACCTCACCCTCCGCCAGATTACCATCCCGGTCTCTTTCCCCCACAACCCCTTCCCAACTGACACCTTCCGTCATTTCTACGCTACCCGCCTCGCTGTCACGGTACATCGGCACCCTTCTACTCGGTGCGCCACCCCTGTCTTTTGCCTCCATGTCCTTCTCTTTAGTGTCGCGTGGCGAGGCCACAACATGATCGAGGTCTATTGCATGATCACGGGGACTATCCCCACGTGCGAAAACCACGATCGGTTCCGGACGGCCCTCCTCCGCACCTTCACAACCCTCTACCCCCACTATCTCGCGTCTCTCCCCCATGGTGGTACCCACTTCCCCCGCTTCCATCGGATCGTCCGATATCAGGAGCTTCCGATGACAGTCGCGGGAATGGAAAGCTTCCTACCCCCGCTCCCGACTCACCCACCCCCTCAACACGCCCCCATGTACCGCCTTCCCTTTCCTCTCCCTGCTAGTTACTGATGTGCGATTGCATGGCACGTGTCGCAAGGATGGCACGAGCGATCCCCTCCTCCAATAGATAGAGCCCTTCCTGGGGAACTTGTAGGAAAGAGCCACGTATGCCACACTGGATGACATCCACTGTTACATGCTGAAAGCCTACACACGGGCCCGTCACGGGACCCGAGGTTGGAATAGGGCCCCCAGGTCGCGTCACCGCAAACTGAAGGCCCTATGGCATTCTTACTTGGGCCTGCATCAGAAAAACGCCAGTGTATGCCATAGGTGACTCTTCAGCGCAGTGTATGCCACGACTCACTCGATCACAGACCAAGACCATGGACCGGAAGGAGGGAATTCCCTCCTGGCCTATTGAGGAACGCCTGGCTGCTTTCATCCAGGAGGCCAACAACAGGGCTGCCGCCGCGGCCAAGGAACGTGGTTGGATTGAGCAAGAAGAAGAGGCTAAGCGACAGAAGGAAGAACAGGACCGACTTCGTCAAGAGGAGGCAGACCTGCAGGCGACAGCCGAACACCGGTCACGCCAACGGGAACGACTGTTCACGCGGGAGACCGTGATCGACGATGAGGCCGCACATTGGGTGCAAGTGGCATCTACAGACGAGGCCCCGGAGACTGAGAAAGGGTTGTCAGCCTTTGCGCAGGTCTCCCACGACCTCGTGGCCACCTGCGTTCTGCAGCAGGAGGAAATCCTCCACCTGCAGCAGACAGTGGACCAGATGCTCGCATGGCTGCAGGCGTTGGAAAAACAGCCAGCTGCTGTAGCAGCCGCAGGGCCTTCAAACCTTGCCACCCGTGTTCAAGTTTTGGAGGACGACGTCAGCAATATCAAGCGTGTGCATCAGGACTTCAGGACGTCGCAGCAAGCAACGAACTTGCAGTTAGAGACGCAGGTCCAGGCTGCTGCCACCGTGACGCCCGCCGCCGCATCCTCCAGGCGCCCACCCAAGCTAGATGACATTCCAGTTTTCTGCGATCAGTCCAAGACGGAACMGATCCCGTGGTGGCGCCAGTTTACTCTCAGGCTCGACATGCACCATGTCCATAACAATGATCGACATTCGTGCTTGTACCACCGATCTGGTGGTGCGTGTCAAGCATGGCTGGACAACATCTTGACCAGCCACGGCGTAGCAGTGTCGGAACTGCACACCAAGCTCACTTGGCAGGAGTTGACTGACGCCTGGCACAAGCGATTCCAAGTGGAGCCGCCCGACCTGCAAGCGATGGACAAGCTCAACAAGCTCCATCAGAACATGCTGCTCAGTCAGGATTGGATTACCGAGTTCCAAAGACTCGCCTCCACACCTGACCTGCCGCTCGCATTMCGCGCCATCAAGCACTTGTTTATCATGCGCTCGTGTCCAGCTCTGCAAAACGCGCTGACGCAGATTGCAGAGACACTCGACACATCTGACAAGCTTTTCAGCACAGCGTCACAGATCATTCTCACGAATATCGAAGCCCGCAACGCCAGCCGATCTTCCGCGACGACGAGCGACACCCAGCCCAAGCCAAAGGTGGCTTGCATTACTTCTACCGAGGCTGCAACACCAAACGAGGGTGAAGTGTTGGCAGCTGCCCGGGATGGTGGTCGGCCGCGCAACAACCACGGCCGCGACAAGACGAAGACTCAGTCYACCTCTACACKGAGCACCGGATCAGCCGCCGACAAACCTTGGGCACAATACGGACTCTCGGCGAATTCCTATCKCWCGCGACTCAAGTACCGTTATTGCCTTTGGTGCAACAGCACCATCCGCGATGCTGCACATTGCCCCACCAAGGGGAAACCCCGTCCGGGAAAGTAGGCGCCGCCGAGGGTGACTCGACACCTCCCTCGACGCCATCGGAAGCGGTTGTGGCCACGACCGCCCTTTCTTCCGAGGCATATGCGGATGTCGGGAGTCTTCCACTTTCGTTCGAAGACTTCGCTGCCCGGCGAGTTCCTTCACTGGATGCTTCTCAAGGACAAGATACATGTGCGGCTTTCTCACCATCCGAAGGTTCTTCCGCCAGTTCGTCTTCATCAAGGGATTCGGCAAGCGTGTTCAACGAGGAGGCTTTGGACCCGCTCACGCCCGAGGATTTCGCTTGGGTTCCTCTCCCTACGACGGGCAATCTTCCGGGGCCGCAAAGCGCAGCACTATGCGCCCTCTTACACGAGTATCTTTCCTTCCATGCACCACCAACTTCGCCGTGGGGGACATGCTTGGCTACATTGCCAAGGTGGTCCGCGAGTTTGTCTCGCAACGGTACGAAGAAAACAACGCACCGTTGCTCTATGTTCGCATTCAGATTGGGCAAGCGGCCTGCAACGCTTTGCTAGATTGCGGCGCAACTCGCAACTTCATCAGCCAGTCCTTCATGACTCGGGCTGGCCTTGGCGCACAAGTACGGAGGAAGTCACATCCGACGACGGTCGCTCTTGCCGACGGTAAGACGAAACAGCTTTTAGACCGTTACATCTCGGCTGTCCCGGTGTACTTTGCACCGCACGCATGTGAGCCCGTCACTTTTGAAGTGTTGGACACTCTACATTGGGATTGAACTGTGTGCGACATTCGGAGATCAGACTTGGGTTGGACTTGGGTACCTCTATGTCCCTCCCCCCCTTCTCTATCGCATGTCTATGGATCTCTCCCCATGTGCGTGAGTGGAAGGGCAATCTTCCCGGTGTCTTGCCCTTCCGAAGTTTATCCCTTTTCATGTTGTTGATTGTCCACGTGTCCTCTTGCTACAAAATCTTCAGCTGCGCTGCTTCCCAGCTCATGATGATGATGATACGAATGTATTGTTGTTGTTGATTTCTCGTTGGTTCACTCTTGCATCGTGTACATTGGCACCTTGTGAATGTTGCATCTATGCTGCTGGTTGTTGCCACTTTCGTCATTGCTAGATCCTAGGCTCTCAGTGCATTTCACTTTCTGATATGCTACATCCACACTCTTTCACACAGTAAGTGGCGCGTAAAAAGCTCCGCGTTGTCGATCGTTTAGAAAGATCGACACGTGTCGTAATGTCAAGCAAGCAGGAGCTTGCTTAAGATTGGAACCCCCTGGGCGTCACATATGTGACGAACCAATTTTTGTTCCGCGCGATCTTCTGCGCGATGACAACGAGGGGTCCTAAGATAGGAAGGATGGGCCAATTATGGGAGATCGGGATCGAAGGGAAAATTGCATCGGTGTCCTCGCTTCTTCGTCTTTTTACATCGCTTCTTTTCGGATGGCTGGGGCCAGGGCTGAGCAAGTCCCGGGATGGTCGATTGAGTGGTTGGCGCGCCGACAGAGGCGCGATTAATAATGTTCGACGTCGCTTCTTTCTTGTTCTGTTGTCGGCTTCTTGGCGAGGTGATCGCGCGGGAAGTTTTGCTTCTTTTTTGAATTTCTTTTTCAAATGTGTCGAGCCCTCGATAGATCTCGAAATTTCGGACTTTCTTTTCGGGATTTCTGCTTTAATAAAGTTCTTTTTGCATTTTTGCGTAAATAGGAATTTAGGAATTTAGGAATTCGGACTTTCTTTTTGTCGTGCGGCGCTTTTGCTCACGCGCTTCTTTTTGCGGCTGCGACGGAGCTCTGATTAGTCAGCACCATTAATCTTGCGTGTAACTGTAATTTTGGGCAGGGCGCCCTTGTAACTGTATCTTTCTTCTTGAGCTTCGTCTTTCCCGCCCTCTCTCTTCTTTCCTGTGTCTAGTCGACCCGCGGGCTGCATGATCGGATCGATGCGTGGAGAGTGGCTACGTCCCCCACGCCGCGATCTGGCCATGCAGAACGTAGGCAATCCCTTTCATTCTCTCTTCCTAAGTCCTTGCAATTCCGTGTTCCTCGCGCATGCATGCACGCTATAAATTCCGGCTGCGCGATTAGATAGCTCTCTTAAACAGTTGCTGGAAGCTCGGGGTAGCGTGATCAGTGAGGATCGGCTCACGAGCGAAGTAAGAGGTGAGTTGAAGTGGGAGTTGGGCGACCCGACGAGCTGGTGCCAAATGCGCATGGTTGACCCGTGGGGCTACGACGGACTGTAGTGCACGGGCGAACCTGACGGGCGCAGGAGGACTAAGCGGGGTGACAACTTCGTGGGTTGGTGCATGACGACGGATTGTCCGCATCGGAGAGAGAGAGAGAGAGAGAGAGAGAGAGAGAGAGAGAGAGAGAGAGAGAGAGAGAGAGAGAGTTGAGGTGGATGGACGTGGAGTCGTAATTTTCTTTGTCTTTCTCAATCTTGTACATAAGTTTTGATTTCGGCTTTGGGCGATCCGCCCTTATTTTTCGATACGGCATCTCTCCTTGTTTTCGTCTTTGATTGGCACTCCTTCTCGATTTTGATCTACTCCTTTTTGTACATGACGGATGGATGGGTTCTGCATAAGGGATGGTTGAATGATGTGCTCGTTGTTAGTCTTCTCGCTCATCTTAGCTCGTGATGAATGGCTAATGACATGAGTTGATGTTGTTGCGACGACGAACGTATGATGCGATGTCACTTTGCATAAACGGGAATATTTGCTGACCATGGGATCACTGAATGATTAGATGATTGGGTGATTGTCTATGCCACTTGGCGATTTTGCATGTAGGGCGGAAACCCCACTTTTGCACGAAAATCAGCCCGTGTACGACTGAACACCTCGTGTGCACACATATAAGCGCGATCTGATCAGCGCGGCCTACAAGTGTCCACACGCGGGCGATTCGCGATCACTGACGAACTTGGCACCTCCGGTATTTGAATACGCGTGAAATTTTCCTTTTTGCAAGGATTTGCGCCGATAGGAATTTCCGCCACCCAACCCGAAAATTCCCTTATCAATCGAAGCATGAGCAAATACGTACACCAGAATGACAAGATGCCGTATGTCGCGGGCCGGGAGAGTTTGCGGGACCCAGAATATTTAGAGCACTGGGGGGGGGGGACATCTTAGACTGAGATATCCGGAATTTCCCTGTCTAACGGAGAACCGATTGTGCGCCAGGGACTTTCACCGTGCCATAACCAGCGACCCGAGGTGCCCTGACTACCCGACTACTTATAACACACAATATTTCATATCCCCCCGCTTCGTCGCTATCACTACCAATTTCCCTCGCTTCCACATCCTCCTCCCGCACCACCAGCTCATAGTGGTTCCGTGGAATTCCATAGCCCCGTATTGGCCCCACACGTCGTGCAGAAATTGGAGACGACGCGGCAATAGCCGAGCCTCTGGAATTACGGAGCCTAACCATAACACGCGACGACAATCGCCACGTGTCCCCACCCGGAGGTCCGACTCATAGAAATCGCAACCCTTACGGACGGGCCTCTCCCGAACCGCCGCCACTAAAACAGTCGGATCGGACGACATCGACCGCCATCTGCCTTATGTCGCACGACATCGACCGCCATCAGACCGAAGGTAACCCGTCTCTTAGCCTTATTGCACCCATGCCCCTGAACCCCCGCCACAGGAGATCTCAGTTCAGACTTGGGACTCCACCCCCACTTTCCCAAAAATCCTTGGCACACCCCTTTTCGCACTTCCAGGTCCACATCCCACTCCGATCAGGAAGTCGCGTCGGGCGTGAGGTTGGGCGTCACACGTCAACAATGTCGAAGACGGTGTGGCAAGCACCACGTCAGCAATGTCGAAGACTGCGTGGCAAGAGCCACGTCAGCAATCAAGTATACAGGTGGTGCCAAGAGCAAAGAGGCGCCAGTGCACAATGCAGCAGTCTCGCATCGTCACACACAATGCCAGTGTCTAGCCAGCGTCGTGCCAACGTTAAGCGGCAAGTGCAAGATTGAATGTTGACCAATAGGGGTTGGGTCAATAAGTAGTGTTGACGCAATCGACCAGCCTTTGGTCTCCCAGGCACGAGAGCCCAGATTGACTCACATTCGATGGCCTGGATCGTGCACAGTTGCAAACCTCCACTTGGAGCAGATTCTGTCTGGATATCTGCATACAGCCAAGTGTGTGTGTCTGATCGGTGGCCTTGGCTGGGTTCACGCAGACCGTGACTCGTGAGCCTCAATTTTTGAGCTACAGTTGATTGTTGACTTTCTTTAGTCAACTGTCGGGCGCAAGGTCTCTGAAGCCTCATTTCGAGGGCCTTGTTCCATACATGCGGGCATAGGGCCTTTTCGTGGCGTTACTGTGGCTTGTGGGCGGCCCCTGGCCGACGACAATAGCATATTTCAGCGGGTTATTGCATTCTTGTCGTCCCTATTGTTAAGTTCCATCGCAGAAATTTTAACTTTCATACTAGGTTCTCTTTTAGTCCACGCTCATATGCAAAAACAATATCAGGGGCAGTAGGTAGGAGTTCTTTCTTATTGAACCATCTTGCTTCAGATGGAAGTTGATACTTGAACTTCACCTTATACTGCTTTTGTGGCCTCCCTCTGCCACCTGTAGAAAAGTATCCATATTCCAATATCTTCTCAACTTCATATCCTCCATTCATATAGGGAGGAAACATGGATGGCAGATTAGGGAAATCATGGCCTTCTACATATGGCAGTAACTTGGCATGAAAAACGGGATATGTCTTGAGGTGTGGGGTTACGTCTATTCTGTATGAAGGTTCATCAGTATCCCCGATCACCTTGAGAACTTCCCAGGGTCCATAATAGACAGGTAGCAGTTTTTGTGACACATTTTCTTCCAAGGAAAATTCTTTACACTTGACCAGAGATCTTATTCTTTGAACTGTGATGGTTGACGATGTTTGTTAGACTGTTCAATCATTTGTAGTTGGGCTTTTTTAATATTTTCCTTCACCTTCTTTATATCTTCTTCATACAAAACTACAAATTCTCGTGTATTTGGGGGTATCGTTGGACTCAGTCCCAGGTCAAATCATCAATGGGACACTGTGGCGTCCATCCTTTGTGAAAAGCGTTCGGTGATCGGTTGGTGACTGTGTGAACACTGTTGTTGTACGCACTTGCAATCTTAGGCAAATTCTCATCCCAACCCATTTGATCTGGCTGTACATACATTCGCAAAAGTTGTTGGCACAGACGATTCATTTGTTCAGTTTGCCCATTCGTTTCAAGATCTCTTCCTAACGACATGGTCAATCGGGTGTCATAGGCCTCCATCAACTTTTACCACTCTTGTTTAATGAACCGTCCATCTCGATCAGAGACGATGGTTTTCGGAAATCCATATTTTG